TTAAGAGTTTTTATCAAATGCTTTATAATATAGTATAAATAACTATAAATTAATTTTAGATTATTGAGGCTTTTTTGTAATATAATTTAAAAAATATATTAGATTACAGGATAACACTAATTATTTAATGAAAAAAAGAAAAAGATCGTTAATATACAAAATCACATGTCATTTGGAAGCGGGCGACCTTTGAGGCCACTTAAGTAGCAGGGCAGAGTTGTCAGGATCATGTATGATTTGTTACATGAATCATATATGATTTTGTACATTAACGATATTTTTCTTGTTTTATTAAATAGTTATCATTCTCGTTTGAAACCATCCCTACTATACAATATATTTTTCATATTTTAATAGAAAAGATAAAATAAAAAAACAAGTGTAAAAAGATTCTAAAAAAAACCCTTTGAATTAACTGAGTTAACGGATTTTTGTTAACTCTATTAGTAAGATGAACCATGACCATAAGAAATTGAATGTCACAGAGATTATATCGAATAGTTAATGTAGTATATAGGAATGTTAGTCATAATTTGACATACCATAGGGACCAAAAGTGTAATTCACTCTATAAAAATGATCAAAATCTTTACAAGTCCGGTAAACACAGATGGATCTTCAAAACTAAAAGTTAGCTGGTTGATTCACCGACATGCCTTGCTGACCCATTGCACGTTGTTGTTGGCCCGCTTTCTAACAAAGCATCATTTAATTTAATGCCTAAGTAGATTCCGTATGAATTTGTGAATTCCTTTTTGGTTTACACGACTTTAGGTCTAACATTTCTAACATTCTACCGAATATATCACATACGTCCATTTCATTCGATCAAATATTAAAACGGAGGTGACACTAAACGACAGTAAATAAGTGGAATAGACTCGTTATTTTTAGAACTAAAATACAATTACCCTTTCTTGTTGAATTTTAAAAAGAACTAAGCAATTTAGTAGGTATTGATTATTAGTGTATTAACCATGATGTTTTATACGATCATATATGTTATGCAAACGATCAAATAACGATAATGCCATCATGTACATTACATGTGACGATGTATATGATCACACAACATTGATTTGTAAATGTGAAATTTATCAATCCAGTAATTCTGTACATAACCATATGTGGTTTCAGTATACACTTCATATAACTTTGGGTTGTACCCGAATCACATGTCGCTTCAATATCAAACCTTTTACAACCAGTACACTTAATAATGAAAATACTTTATACCATGCATGCTTAACGACTTTGTTATACTTGTACACGATAATTAACTTGACATTATCGATACATACACAACATATGATCATGTATAAGACACATGTCAATATTATGATCATGTATATAATCATATGGATAATTATATCATGGATGTCATCATGTAAATATTATCGTACATATAATCACATGTGATTATATAAATGATGACTTGAAAAGTGTGATATTAAATAGAATCATTATGTGTGTATGTATATATACATAACACACATACACATGTATTTATGGTTTGATTCCCATAAGGTTGACCATGAAGGCCATGATTCATTAATTAAGGGCTAAGGACAAAACCATTAATCAAACCCTACCACCACCACCATCATCATCATCATGCCTTTTTCACTCAAAACAAATTAACAATAATTTCTCTCAACCAACTCATATTTAATACCCTTCAATTCTTCTCATGCAAGAAAACTTTATGCAATAAACAATTAATATAACACACACACACACATATATATATATATATATATATATAATGCACCTTGACAACTCCATCGAGAGGATATACATCAAACTACGAAAGACAAAAGGGGAGCAGTGGAGAATGACCCATCTAAATCTCTGCAGTAACACTAGTACAAAAAGAGATGCAAGAGCTTATTGAACACCAAGTGATGTTACATGTCACCAACGCATATACGACACGACACCGACGACACGACACCGACGTTGTAACTTAGGCTGTATAACTCAAACATGGAGATATGATAAAGATATACAAATGTTAATGCAATATCTTTACGTTCAACAACCTTATATATAACTAAACAACAATATGGACCATGTAGTTCTTGGTAGTAGACGTCAATACAATACATACGATACATATGTATGTATGTATATATATAGACTTCGGATCATGTGAGACCAACCTATTTTTATGAGACTAAATTTTTACACTTGAAACTTCACAGCAAAACACTGTAACAGTGGTTCACAGTGGTTTTGATGTGGAAGTTTGGATTTTTTTTACATTTACAATGTTTTGCTGTGAAGTTTTAAGTATAAAAATGTGATCTCACAAAAATAAGCTGGTCTCAAAGTGAACCGAACCCTATATATCATCAATTCGAAGATTAAACAATGCAGTTGATGACAGATCAAAGTGTACAACTTTCCAAATGGTTATTAGATAGTTTGTAAGGGTTAACACAAAGTGCAAGTCTTGTACAATTCAACAATGCATACATGTTTTTGTAGGTGAGGCGATATTGACAGGTCAAATTGTACAACTCAACACTGCTTAAGATGCCACTTTTAGACCTTAAGTCGATGTTGATAGGTTATACATGGTACAACTCTATGAAGCATACCGTATAGTTGAAAGAGAAAGATCACACACACACACATATATATATATATATATATATATATATATATGGGGTCATGTTCAAATGAAAACCGTACATTTCTAAGAAATCGTGTAAACCAATTTTGACCAATAGGAAAATTCTATTTTTTTTCTAATTAATATTAATCAATAAGGGTATTCCAGTCATTTACAATATATTCTATTAAATATGGAAGTTATTAATAAATCTTAATTAATGAAACATAATAAAAAAATTGTATAAATGGTAACATTTAAATATTTAATTACATTATAATATTAAAATTTTGAATTTCATATATTGTAATCTTTAAGAATCATCAAACAGGTCTTGATAAAACAATTGAAGTGTATAATGAAATCATCAAATCGTATATGAACAAAAAAAATCCAAAAATGAAACAGATTTATGAACGTGAAACTGGTTCATGTTGCAAATAAATTATGTAAACCAAAACATTTTCATGGTGAATCCGTTGCATTGATTGTGTAGTTGATCCATTTAGTTGGTGAAGAGAAAAATGAAACCGGTGCATTTTTGTATTTGGTGCGTCATGAACTAAGTGCATGATGAAACGAGAAAATGATTTAATCTGCTCCAGAATCTTGAAGATTGTAAGACTTAAATGAATGAATCCATCAAATCAGTGGTGAAATAAGAAAATTACTGTACATGAAATAGGTTTCATGAAAGTGAAACTGGTTAATGGCCTTATTGAGCATTACTAGTGAAACGGTTGCATAAAGATCATATATATATATATATATATATATATATAGAGAGAGAGAGAGAGAGAGAGAGAGAGAGAGAGAGGAGCGATAAAATAAAAACCGCCTCTATTTGTGTAAACCGTGTAAACCAATCTCATTCATTCATTTTCTTGATCAATGGTTAAGATTAATCAAGATTATTTAAGAAAATAAAAAATAAAAAAATTGAAAATACATTTTATAATACCGATAAGGGCAAAAGAGTAAAACCAAATATTCATTTATTCAAGGAAATCATATCATGTATATCATATTATTAATGAAACTAATCTATTTTTTGTAAAGTAATTTATTATTTTTACGTTAACATTTATTATTATTAATGAAACTAATTTATTTTTCATCTTGCAATTATTTCATGACGAACCGCCTACATTATGTACCCGTTTCATTTTTCATTTCATCTACTGAATGGATCACCTACACCAATATTGAAACGGGTTTCACCATGAAAGCAGTTAACCACTCATTGTTCAATTACGCCATGAACCAGTTTCAGTTTCATGAAACCTGTTTCATGTAAATTAATTTTTTTTATTTCACTCATGATTTGATGCATTCTTTCATTTTCTCCTTACAATCTTCAAGATTCTGGAGCAGATTACAATCTTCAAGATCCCGAAGCAGATTCATCATGTACCCGTTTCATCATGCAATTATCTCATGACGAACCAAATAAATTATGCACCCGTTTCATGTTCCATTTTTTCTAATAAACGGATCAACTACATCATCACTGAAACATGGTTCACCATGAAATGATTTCATATTACTCATGAATCAATTACAACATGACCCAGTTTCACCTTCATGAAACTTGTTTCATGTAAATTAATTTTTTTATTTCACTCATGATTTGATGCATTCTTTCCTTTAATCCTTACAATCTTCAAGATTCTGGAGCAGATTAATTACAATCTTCAAGATCCCGAAGCAGATTCATCATGCAATTATCTCATGACGAACCAAATAAATTATGCACCCGTTTCATGTTCCATTTTTTCTAATAAACGGATCAACTACACCATCACTGAAACGTGGTTCACCATGAAACGATTTCATATTATTCATGAATCAATTACAACATGAACCAGTTTCACCTTCATGAAACCTGTTTCATTAACATTATTTTTTTAATTTGAACCATAATTTATGATTTCATTTCATAATGCAATTCAATCTTCAAGACTCGTTTGCAGATTCAATCTCATAACAATATATCAAATTCAAAATTTTAATATTATAATATAATTA